GGCACTTGAAGGAACTGAGGTTGAAGATTTCAATGGTTGGCGAAGAGCAACGGGCAGAGGAGCTGAAGGCCAACTTGATCGCCAGGGGATCGGAAGCTGGAGTAACAATTACAGTGGAGTTGAAGCCATAGATATGCAAACTATTAGAGACCTGTCACTATAAGAATATGATTCTGATACCCAGCTACCTTAAGAGGTTCACGCGTCTGCCTTTTCTTTCTGCATCGACACTCACAACGGTGTGCCTGAAGCTGAAACCACCGGGAATATCACAAGATGGGACAAGTGTTTGAACTAATGAAGTATTTTGGCTGTAGACTAAGTGATATCTCTGGATCAACGAGAAGAAAGAAAGGCTCAAGTTCGCTGGTCATATCTCCCCTGCAAAGACCATCGTTATTATTCACGCAACCTCCGCGACACGTCTAGCACGGGCATCCATCACCGCCGCCACAAGCATTGCAATCAGAGTGGTGCTGGAAGTTGCAAACAAACACACCAAGACCGCTCGCGCCACCCAAGCAGTTCAAGCACTTGAGCGCAGCAGCCTGACAATTCGGCAGCACGCCGGGAATCGTCTCAGGCATAGACGGCGTGCTCGGCACAGGAACAGCGCAACCAGCAGCCTCCGTGGCACCAAATTCCTTGTCGCCGACCGTCGCGGCGTTATCCTCTGCCAGACGCCACATGACGAGGTTCGCAATCACGGCGTGGCCGCCGGGACGCGGGTGAAACACCCTTTTGATCTCGTCGCCGATGAAGTCAGAGACCTCAATGTTGTTGCGGCCCCTGAAGGCTGGGTCCGCGGCGCTGTTGTCAGCGAGAGAGATGACGAGGCTTGAGTTGCGTTTGCGCGCTTCCGTGATTTGGTCGGCAATGTACTGCTCCATTGATGGCGACGCAGCCGTGCCCTGGCGGACTTCCAGGACGGGTGTCTTTGTGTTAGACTTGGTGGTTTGTCTGCGAGGGAAAGAGCTCCAGATTTGTCCGGCGCGCTTGGAGAGGATGGACAAGAGGCCCAGCTTGCTACTGCGCATCTCCAGAGACGAATCAACGTCACCAATAGTGGGGGTCGCGCGAGGAAGCATCTGGTCGTTATTGAAAGATGCGACCTCGGGCTCACGTCTCGCGAGGGTGGTATCGTCGTTCTTGCTAGACCACTCGAAGAAGAGAAGACCATCACGGTTTCCGTTGGGCTCCTTGGTGGCACCCTCGCAGAAACGGCCCTGAAGCACGGAGAAGTACTGGTTGTAGTCGACAAATTCGAACGAGGCACCGGCTCTCCTGACCGCGGCCTCGATGACGTTGTTGACGGCAGTAGTGAGCTCGTTCATCAGCGTTCTGCGCTCAGTGGTGAGCTTCTGCTTATTGGCGCTATTGAACCAGAACGACCAGCTGACGTCGTCGCAGGCAGTCGTGGTGTTATCGAAGAAGTTGGCGTAGCCCGTAACGTAAATCTTGCGGCCCGGGTTGATCTTGTTCTTGAGACCAGCGTACAGCTTGTCCAAGTTACCCGGCAGAGTATCGCGGATGAGGTTCAGCGTGGCCTGCATCTCGTCGGGGCAGTTGGCAAATGGGTTCCACTGGAAGATACAGGCGTTGAGAATGCTGGTGAGGCCGACGTCGTTGCCGCCAGCGCTGACGGTGATGATGTCGTAGCCGGTGCCCAACGCGGAGACCTGGTTGGCAAGGATCTCGGGGGCGGTGGCGCCGGAGCAGGCAAGAAACTCGAATTGAGCAGACTCGGGCATAAGTTCGTGAGATTGCATGTAGGCTGGGTACGACTGGTCGTAACGAGCGCAGGTGGTTGAGCTGTTGGGGTACGGCGAACCGGAGCCAATGCCGGCGGAGCTATCAAAGACAATCAAATTAGAATGGTGAGCGCTGGCCATCTGGATTGATGGGAACTCACTAGGAATCGCCAATGGCAGCCCACTTCTTCACCCATGAGAGGTCATAAGGGTCTGCGGGAGCAGGCTGAGCGGTATCCCAGCCCTGATCGCAGAAGCAGGTACCTCTGTTAGATAGGCAGGTTAGTTATCATTGACATTGTTGGATCATATGAAGAGACTTCAACTTACCCTTCACCACACCATGCGCCACCACGGTCGGTGCCACATTTTGTGAGGCAAGGTGACTGATCAGGGCAGCTGAAAACACATGTGTCTTGAACAATCTCCCTGGAACAATGTTAGGACTTGTAGAAGACGTGTTATAATATGATGTACTCACTCAGCAAACTTCTGAACCTTGAGGCAACGATGAGGTGCAGTAGAATCTTTCAGGCACTGGTCAAATTTGGCCGTGCTGCACTGGTCGATAGCTCCAAAGACCTCCTCGGCCGTTGAGTCGCTCTGCGCAAGTGCGAGCCCGGCAAGGAGCCCGAGACTCAATGTGTAAGCCTTCATGTTTGGCTAAGAACAAAAAAGAGTGACTTAGAAATCAGAAGCACAGGTTGATGCTGAATGAATGGAATGCTTTGCTCAAATCCCCAAACAAACCCAGCAACGACACGGCGGTGGTTGCATGACTATAACTGCTGTTGCAGCATGAACCATTCGCAACTTGTCTCCGCGCCAAGCGGGCTGCAATGTATGATGAATCTGGAACATCTCAAAGTGCCTTAGTCTCTATTCCCTTAATTAACTCTAAGCGTCTTGTCGTGGCGGTGCGTACCGGTGCTCGGGCCGAAGAGCGAGTCAGTGTCGTCAGGTATCGTACGGACAGTCGCCGACTACATACGGAATACGGACATCATAAATGAAGCAAAGGCCCTCGGCAGCCCCGGGCGTATCATATTTCTGCTCGTTATTTCCTTTTACTTTGCTGCCCGCAACAGCGCTGCGGTGGTTGAGATTGACTTTGAGTTTTACGGTTTTACCGCCTTGCCGGCAACCGCGCGCGCCAAGACAAAGGCTGTCACAATATGAGACGAAACTCCTCCGCCCCAAGAGCCAAGGCCACCAAGATACCCGGGCATACCGTCGTTATTACCTGCCCACTGATATGTATACTCGTATATCTAATAAGCTATACTCTTCTTGTCAATCGCTCTGCCCACACGTGGGTTTCGCTCCCAGCGTCGCCTACAACCGCCGCGGGCGCCGACTCTAATTAGCCTTACTGTTCCTTAAACTCTATCTCCCTTAACGTACTAGATCGGTTCCGTCGGGCAAGTATTTCCACTCCGACGCCGGTTTTGGGGGCTATTATTGGTATGGGTTTGACTTCGACCTTTAATCAACGTCAGGCGAACTAATGGCCCTGGCCAACTCTTGCTGGGATTTTGAGAAAGCTGTCAAATTACTGCCAAGAGACAGTTTAGTTTACAAGTCAGTCACAGAGTTCGGAGCAGTCGTTCGTAAGTCCATCTGACAAATAACTTAACTATGTCATGGGCAACTCAGCCCGGTTTCTGAAAGTACCGTGTGTCTCTCTCATAATGCTATAACCATCGTCGCATCATATTGTCACTCTCTTGAACTCCCCCGCGGTTTCGCGTCCATTCATTCCTTACTCGGCCCTCCGCCCTCACACTCTTTTGCTAGTCTATCACTTGAAGTCCTGCTCCAGAATCTGAAGTAGTCTCAAAGTAATCCACGATGTGGTTCAACGCCGGTGGTAGCTGGGGAGCCAGCCTCTCATCACTCTTTTTGCTCTTCACCCTCATCCTCAACGTCGCTGCTCAGACGTTTGGAATCACCCTCGATAAGGCTGCGCGCGACGATGCACAACGTTTCGTTTACTCCGCCAAGCTCACCTTTGAGCAAGACACCGGAACGCTCTTCAGCGACGGTCAGCTTTACGGGCTCGCTCGCGCAGCCTTCAACGAAATGCAGACAAAGTTCAATGCGGATAAAGTCCGCTTCAACAGACAACCCGTCATGATGGCCGCCATGGCCCTCGGCAAGGACGTCTATCTGTCTTCCAACCTGAAGGGTGGGCCCTTCTTGTATACCTATGCGGACTCGCGTCTTAAGCCTCAGGTTGTCGTTGCGCTTGAGCGATGCCAGACTAGCTTGCAGGATGCGGCAAGACGTGGCACCACCGTTGACAAGCAGCACCGAACCCAGGCCAGCTGCGCTGAAGTTGCTGCTGTTCATCAGGTCAGTCTTCCTCTATCTAAACATGATATCCAATCACCCCGATCGATGACATACTGATGCTCTTTTAGTACTACTTGGACGACGCCGTTACTGAAGCTGCTCGCAACGACCCTCCTCCAACACGCATTGTCGCCTATGGCAAGGCTGGTCAAGATGGTCCCATTGGACGTAAGTCGACTTGTTAATGGAGTATGTGAGAGTGAACATAAGTTTGCTGACTTTCTTTCCTTGCAGCTCAAAATGCATGCGGTGGTGGCGATGTTGTAAAGAACGGTGTTCTCACTTGGGGATGCAAGCAATTCATGGCCGATGAACAAATCACTGTGCCGCGGAAACCGACCAACAACCTCAACTTGAACCTGCCCAATCCCTTCCCCAAGTTTACTACAACACAAGTCAGTGTCATGTGCCCTGGACATAAGAAGCCTTGATAGTCCTACGGCCTAATCACCAGCCGGGATGGAAGGGTGGGTTGTTGTGATAGCGGGTTGTTCAATTGGCTCTAGGATATGATATCGAATTACCAACTCGTTGGAGGAGGGCTAAGGTTCTGCAAATATCCAATAGCATAATGACGTCTCAGACTAGGGATTCTTCACACATGTCACTACTTCCGAGCGCATTGTATAACATGTCCGGGCCTGGGCTCAACCAGAAACGTCTATTTATTTGAAGCACGCATATAATTTGCACAAGCTTATTGATTACTACATCACCATTCCAACCGTTCATACATTGGCAGCTACGGCTACAGTCGTCCGACTACCTTTGGGTTTTCAATTCTTGGGCCCAAGTATTTCTCCATATGGCCGAGTGCATATCCCTGTTCTGGATATGGGACCCAGGAGAATAACGAGAGACAATGATTAGTTCTCCCTCGCCAATCCCTGATTATTACTTTGCCAGCTTGCCAGAGACTCTCTCGCGATGGGCCCTCACAGCAGCATCGACTCTGCTAGACTGGTAGGGTAAGAAGACGAGCCTGTTGCCGGCTTCAAGGGGTTCGGCCTGAAACCTTGCCAGGCGCTGTTGCTTGAGTCTGGATGCTTCACTATTCTGAGTGATTTCGGATTTTTGAGATGATTCGCTTGTCTCTGTCGCATTCACACTATAAGTTGGCAAGTGAGTCTAATGATTCTTCGCGTAAGGCCATTTGGATATGTATCGAATAGTTGAAGAGGCAATCGTACTCTGAATAAGTCATCTTTGAGAAGACAGCCGCTGGCAGTTGATTTGTTGCAAATTCGCTGTAGCTTCTCAACTCAAGTAAAGCCAGTCTATGGGTTCCCAATGCCGTATCAAGCCAGAAAGCGTACGAGTGGGAGGTGATCTCCTGAACTTTATGTATTATCTCGCAATGCCGCCGTACCACCAATGGCCCATCATGCCACCCAGTCTGCAAGTGACGAACGCCGGTTTTGTTTCTTGATGCTTCAATTGGGATAGAAAATTAATCCATTTGCTTGCGCACCATCCAAACCACCAAAAATCGTCAATTATCCTCCCGAACGGCAACGTTGTTGACGAAAGTGAGGCGTTTTGTTGCCAACAGCATGGTACGGCTAGACTAATGCGGGCGCTTGGGACTTGAGGAGCGCGGGGTCGTTCCTTCTCAAAATATGCCTTGGGAGATTCGCACCGGTATTTCTCGACTCTTTGCTTAACCATCTCGGACGGATGCTGCTATTGGGCTGTTGGTATTAAACAAACCCCACCCCACCTTGATTCTGTAAAGGTAACACAACAGAAGCGAGGCGCACCCCATAACGCGTGCACGAGTATGGGTATGGGAGGCGGTGAAAGCTCTCATAGTAATGCAATGATAGTCAGGTTAGACTGACAGTTGTGGGGGAAGAGGAAAGAATCACGAGAGATTTGTTGCCTTTCGCAACCAGTTTGCCGCTTGGATGTCGATTCGCTCAACAGATAAGTTCTATAATCGTACATGCTTATGAAACACAAAAAAGAGTCTAGAATAGGTTGATTCTTGGCGAGTCATATGAGCAGTAGTGTTACGATCCTTTGAACAATGGGGGCAAAAGGCTTCGTAAGTCAAGACAACTCTGTCTCGAGACAATATGTGGTTTACACGTAGGTGTCGCTTTGGGTACGCACACTCGTGGCTCGTACCTCAAAGATTTCATTCAAAGATTCAATTGTTACAAGAACCTGGACCAAAGTCAACCCATAGTAGCAATTACCATCTCAATCCGCGATAGAGAGTTAGCTAGTCAGCTGCTAGGGACATCCACATGAAACCACTCGAACTTTTCGAGGAGTTCCAATAATGGTTCTTGTGTTGAAGATCCACTGAACCCTGGCTACCATAAGATTCGATCAATACGCACCTAGGGTTGCTGTGAATGGTGGCAAGACAAAGTCTGGCTCTGGAGCAGAGTGCCATAGTCTAGGCTTCTAGGCTCAACACTCCACTACACTTCGAAGAAGCAGCCACATCTGCAGCACTAGAGGTTTGCTCGGATCCAGGGCGCAGCATAGGGTTCGTGGCATGTTGTGACTGGCCCAATTTAGTGATGCGCCTGGATCACAAGGTGTTCTTCTACAATCAAGCCAGCTGTATGGCCGCAAGGCGCTCTGGGCTTCGACAGACCTCGCAGACGGAGGTTGTATGATTTTGTGATGAGCCCTGTGTAATAGGCAAAGGGTTGGTTGCTGAAGGGGATTGGCGAGTTGCAGCGGAGATTGAGCTTCATTCGGTATGCTGCAATTCGTTTCGCTGATCGACTTCGAGGCAGCCAAAAAGGCCTCGATGCCTTGCGGATGCGCCTTACTTTTCTGCGGGGTGCCTCTGATAATGACGTGGCGACCTTTCGTGTCCAGTCAGATTGTTAAGGCTTGCGAAGTGATATGCCTAGTTCTCCGTCGTATGCGTGTCTGCCTACAAGGCGGACTGTCAGCAGCGGGGTCAGGCTGACACAAAATTAGGCGGCGACCCTTTTGTGGCGTGATGATGACGCCAATCCCTGTGTACTGGATTGGACACTGGGGAGGTAACAGATTCCCTGCTGAACCCGGGGGCGGAACTCTGTAGCAGTAGAGAAGTTTTGTTGTTGATGTCGTAGATTGTTGCAATTGGTTCTGCACGTGACCATGTCGATGGTCAAAGTCGGATCAGCCCATGTGATCATGACAATATCGAATAGCATTGTACGATTCCAGTATTGGAGGATTGTTGAGGACGACTGCGGTGACATCTATACGTGGTCGGTGAACTGTAAGAGAGGATGAAAGGCTGGATAGTATGCAAGAGAACGAAGGCAGCTTGGGCTTGAACGGTATATATGCTTTTGGTGTCGGACCACAATTTTTGGTAAAAGAACGAGAGGTGAGAGAAGAGGGGAATGGAGGTAATTGATAAATGCCACTTAAGCAAGATTTGAGCAGTGGAATGGCTCATCCGAATCTGAATTGGAATGGACGAGGGACCGGATTGAAAGTGACGGGAACTTCATATCATCTTATACTTGCGTTTCTCGGTGAGTCAAGGGTGTAGGATTGGTCAATCTTTTACGGGGCGCAGCAACGTTCGACCAATAACCAGTGCAGGTGTGACCGAAAATTAGACGCGACATGTCGCCCAACGTGAAATTGGGGCGGTCATAACCAGACCCAGATTGGAAATTGATATGAGCTGGCATGCAGACTTGATTGTGGACTTAGTTCGCACCCGAGCGCATGGTGTCATTTGGCCTGCCTGTCCAATACTCAGAGCAAGGTTCAGGTTACTCACATAAATCTGACCCAGAGCTAGTGTCAGTATTCTAAAGATAAAAATGCATGTTTGACACCAGTCATATTAGAAGAATCAATCAACCACTTGAAAACATCACCTTTGGCGATTTAAACAGCCTGAAAACAAGCCATACAGGCCAAGATTTCCGGCGTTGTTGTCAATGTGTATTCTCTCGTCTCAGAACATTATTCGAAGTTCGTTTTCACGCGTATGCCTAAAGCTAAACGATGCTTTCTCTATCACTACCTCGACTGATTCTATTTAGTTCTCAGAGAATTTTATGTGGGTAATATGTCCAAAGAATGTAGCAAGATAATAATAAGGATAGTAGTAGATATGTGAGGAAGAAAGCTATCAATGATAAAAGATTCTCGACTACTATCCTCTCTGAGATGTAGGCTAGAGCCAGGTTTCCCATGTGGCTTTGAAGCACAAATGAGTCACTCCTTGAACGTTTGCAACGAGACTTAGTAGCAGATGATATGGAGTGATATATCCTCTGAGTAAATCTCACAGCCCACGGTCTCAACAAGAAAACAGTTGCATCAAGATCTGGTATGAGGCTGTGTTGTCCTACATCGATCAACCATTCTTCCGCCCAGGAACATCATTTACAAAGTTTCCCTGCCCAGTCTTATTCGCCTTCATCTCCAACCTAGTCTGAAGCCTCCTAGCAGCCTTCTCCGCCTTATCCAACTGCTTCTGCTTCGTCAGCAAGACGCTCCGCTGCTCAGCCGACGACAGATGCGCAAGCGCAGATCGGTCATTGATGCTTAACCGGGAAAGCTGCGTCTCAAAGATAACGTCGCGCTTCTCGGCGCGCGTCAGAGCCTTTGTGTCGAATTTCTTGCCGGGCCCAGGTGGTGCTGTGAGCTGAAAGCTTGCTTCTGACTCGTTGATACCCGAGAAGCCTCCAGTGACGAGCTTCTGAGAGCCAATAGTGTTGGTATCAGCACCGATCCTATTGCGAGGTCTCGATGACCCCGGGGCAGAACGGTGAGAGAGCTGTTTGCCAGACGGTAGATGAACCGATCCGCGTTCTTCCAGTGCATTTGCGATGGCTCTCTTAGTATCCTTATGCGTTCTTGAACCCTCCTCACTGCTGTCTGAAGATTGCTCGTAAAAGTCCCTAAACTCGGAGTCCTCCGCTGTGACGTCGAAGCGGCAATGGCCCTTTCCAAGCATATGCTGCTGTACCGCAGCAGCCGTCCGTCGCTGTGTACCGCACTGCAGACACTCGCGGTATTCAAAGACGACGAGGTGGAGGTACTTCACCAACGCCTCAACGTCGACGATGAGCTTTTCCTTGTCTGGGATAAACATTCCATGCGCTTTATGCATGTGCACGATATTATTATCCAGGGAATCTGAGATGGTATTGCAGAATAAGCACTCTTCCGGAATGAACTCATCATCATCGTCATCGGCATCGCTCAGATCGGCATCAGAAGTAGACGAAGACGATGAATCGGATTCCGCTGTGGGGCCGACTTTGTCTGGGACGTCGGCCGATTGTGTGGAGACAGCGGCGGCGTGCTGTTCCGCGGTGAGGGGTTCGAGGTCGGCCATGCGCCGTTTGAGGTTCGTGACGTGCCATTGACTTTTTGAGTGGGCGCGGCGGGTGTCGGGGTTGTCAAAGTGGACGGCGCAGGTGCCGCACGAAGTTGCTGAGAGCTTGAAGTGGGAGGAAGCGTTTGAGTGCTCCATGATGGCGGCTGTGGTGTTGGTGGTTGAGGTTGTGGTTGTGCTTTGCATGAGATTCAGATGAGGGCGACGAACAGAGATTTCGTGTTCGTCAAGTAGGTACCTCAGGTCGTGGGGGATGCTTGGTTAAGTAGCTTGATGAGAGACGTTTACTAGAAGTGCTTCGGTAGTGCGACTCTTATGTACCAAAGATGGACCGTCACTTCATAGTTGTCAAAGTAAGGGTATGAACCATTAGGCAAATGGAGCTCATTGTGGCAACGGCCGAGGCTTCTCAATCCATAGCGATGTCTCAAACACAATTGGCGAATCAGTGACAGATTACAAAACGGCAGCGCTCACAAGGTAATTCATCAGCCGATGCCGTGTAGCCGCGACAATTTTTTGAGTCAAATTGTGGAGTCTATTAGCTAGCACGTCTCAACTGCAACATCGAAACAACCTGGAATGGTCTTCACCCTGGACGAAGGATTTGCAGCCTGTGCGATTCCTTCGCAAGTAACTGAAGACTGCTGGAGATCTTGGAGGCGGCGTGACTCCCCAACGCTGCAAGAGGAAAGCGATTGAAGAAAGGGGACGAAGATGAGTCATACCCCGGGGCCGAGACCTTCCCTATCGGGATGCGTCGTCGCTGGCAATTGAATGAGCCATCATGAATCGACTCCACTGCGGTCCGAGTTACAGGGGTGAGCTGCTGCCGTGACCGTGCCGAAGTCAATTCCGTGACACGGCGGACTTGACCTCCGACAATGAGAACATAGCCTTTCGAGGAGCAAATACGTAATTCAGATCGACTTTGTGTTTGCTCACATCTTTGGAGCTACCGACGCACTCAAAGTGAAGTATCGTGGTGAAATGCCACCGAACTGCTCACCTCTTAGACTAGACTCCTATTCCTCGCCAAGTTGAAAGCACAGCAAACATCGTCGCTCTCCAGAGGAGCCTTGTCTCGGGCGTGATTGCCCGTCTAGAGGCAGGTCGATAGAACGCGGACAACAAGGCTTGAGTACGTGGATTTGTTTCATAAGTTGGTATCGAATCACTTTTCAGCCGTAGCTATCTAACCCCCTCACGCCCTTTGCTCAGAGAAATCGTCAAAATGATCTCTTGCTCTACCCCATCTCTCTAGCAACACATGACATGAATCGAACCTGCCGTATAGGTCTCGTTATTCCGGCCCAAAAATGCTCAACCTCCCTCAACTCCTCTTGATATCATCGCCGCTATTTCTCTAGTAGCTGCGGCCGAACATGGTCCACTTCTGGGCCTTGGCCTCGCACTCGGGGTTGAGGCACTTGGTCTCGCCGGGGACGAGACCGCTCTCGGGCTGCTCAAAGGGAATGCAGAGGGACTTCATGCCCATACTGGGCTGCTTCTTGCCCTCGGGGAGGGTGGCGTTCTCGGGGGGCTCGCTGGTGGTGAGCTCTTTGATGCGGTCCTCGCACTTCATGCCGAGGCAGAAGGGGATGACGACGACGTTCTTGGTGTCGAGGGCGGGGATGACCTTGTCCCACTCAGTCAGGACGAGGCGGTGCTCGCGGAATGACTTCTCGGCCTTGTTGTACATGTCGGACTGGATGGTCTCGAGAAGCTCGGGGACCTTGGTGGAGATCTCCGCAAGGGGAAGGGAGCCCTTCTCGCCGGTGTCACGGCGGGCAGTGGCAACAACCTCATTGGCGGCATCCTTGGGGCCGAACTCGAGTCTCAGGGGGACACCGCGGAGCTCCCACTCGTTGAACTTCCAGGCGGGAGTGTAGCCGTCTCTCAGATCGGACTCGGCGCGAACACCAGCCTTGCGCAGCTGGTTGCGGAGGTCGTCGACCTTATCCTCCAGCTTCTTTCTGTCCTCGGGGCTGGTCTTGGCAGTGATACCGACAGCGATGAGAACAACCTGGGTCTTGGCGATACGAGGGGGAAGGACGAGACCCTTGTCGTCACCGTGGATCATGACCATGACACCGATAACGCGGGTGGACAGACCCCAAGAGTTTTGCCAGACGTGGATCTTCTCACCCTTCTTGTCGGGGTTCTCGACGGTAATGTCGAACATCTTGGAGAAGTTCTGACCCAAGCAGTGGGAGGTGGCACCCTGGATACCACGGCCGTTGGAGGGGATGTAGCCTTCGACAGTGGTGGTGTAGTAACCACCGGCGAACTTCTCATTCTCGGTCTTGGTGCCGCGAACGACGGGGACAGCGAGAAGCTGCTCATAGACGCCAGCGTAGAGCTCGAGAATCTCGAGAACCTCCTTGCCGGCAAGCTCCTCGGTAAGATGGGCGGTGTGACCCTCCTGCCACAAGAACTCTCTTGTGCGGAGGAAAGGGGTGGTCTGCTTGGCCTCCCAACGGACGACGGAGTTCCACTGGTTCAGGCGGAAGGGGAGATCGCGATGGCTGCGAATCCACTTGGAGTAGTAAGGGTACATGACGGCCTCGGAAGTAGGACGAACTGCGACAGGGACCTCGAGGTCCTTGTCACCACTGTATATGGGATATCAGTATTGGCCTTGGCGCAATTATCAAGGGAGGGACGACTTACGCCTTGGTGACCCAGGCCAATTCAGGGGCGAAACCCTCGACGTGGTCCTTCTCCTTCTCGAGAGACTTGGAGGAAAGGAACATGGGGAAGCTGGTCTCATCGACACCCATCTCCTCGATTCTCTCGGAGAACCACTTGCGGATAACGGTCCAGATGTACATGGACGCAGGGCGCAGGATAAAGAAACCGGAGATCTCGTTGTAGTACTCGACCATCTCAGCCTTGAGAACAATCTCCTGGTACCAGGCAGAAAAATCCTCGTGCTTCTTGACGGTAATACCCGTGATGTCCTCCTTCTTCTTGCCTCCGACAACGGGGAGAGCAGCCTGCTTGGCGGCCTTTGCAGCCTTTTCAGCAGCCATCTTTGCCTGCTTCTCGGCCTTCTTCAAGGCGCTCTTGGACGGCTCAGCGGGGGCGGTAGCGTCGGCCATGTTTGCGATATTGACTGCAGATCGCAGAGTCGTCTCGTAAAGCCAGGTAGGGTCTCGTCTTATGGAATTGGCGACGTGTTGACCAGATCGGCCTGAGTCACTGGGAGATTTTGGGCAGAGAAGGCGGTGCGATGCAGCGGAAAAAGTGCCCCGCACTAAAAGTGAGTCGTGTGTCGAGCTGTTGGGTGGGAGCGCAGTGAGGGGTCAATTGGGCTCCAGCCACGGGGTCGGAAGGTGGCCCGGGCTTCTAATCAGTTGTGGAGCATCTACGGTTGTTTATCTCGGGTCAAGCCACACTGGATGTCACTGCGCTACAGAGAGGGACAGCGTCAATAAATATTGCCATAGCAAACACACAATTGATGATAAAACTATGAGAATGACAAAGAATGCTGAAAGCTACTTCGCAAACTTTAGCTTCATCAAATATTCTTCAGGTATTAACACCTTACGGATGGGCTGCCAACTGTATGGAACGTGGGGAACCATCAGACCTGAGTTGCGCTGGCAGGGCCTTGCAGACCCGATAAGATAACAAGCACCAGCCACATCCCCGGTTCCTGGAACAACCCCGGCTCCGATAAAAAAGTTGCGTCGAGGGGAGACAAGGCAGGCACAGCACAGAAGCTTCTATTGCTGTCCAGGCACACACCGACCGAAGCTCCTTAAACCACCCCCATCCACCACCTCCAAAACCCGCGATCCAACCACAACCGCTGGCAGTGAGGCGCAAAAATGGCTTCCATGTTCGAGCAGTCAGGGAGCGGCACGCTTTTCCTCGGTGGCCAGAAGATTTCTGGCGCCGACATTAGAGACCAGAACGGTATGTCAATATCCCACTCCCCCCACCGGCCAAATCACAACGAAGCTTCATTTTGCTGACAAACTTGCAGTTCTCGCGACCCAAGCTATCGCAAATGTCGTCAAGAGCTCTTTCGGCCCCAGTGGTCTCGACAAGATGATGGTGGATGATATTGGTGTATGTTAGGTGGCCCCCCTCCCCCCTGGACCCCGCTCACCCCCCGGCGCAGGATGTCACGGTCACGAACGACGGCGCTACCATTCTCAGCTTGTTGGATGTCGAACACCCGGCGGGCAAGATCTTGGTCGATCTAGCACAACAACAAGACAAGGAGGTCGGCGATGGCACAACCTCTGTTGTCCTCATCGCGGCCGAGTTGCTTCGCCGAGGAAACGAGCTCATGAAGAACCGCATACACCCCACTACTATCATCACCGGTTACCGACTTGCCCTGCGCGAGGCCGTCAAGTACATGAACGAGAACATCAGCATCAAGGTCGAGAACCTCGGACGCGAATCCCTCGTCAACATTGGCAAGACGTCCATGTCCAGCAAGATTATTGGAGCCGACTCTGATTTCTTCGCCAACATGGTCGTCGATGCCATGCTGGCAGTCAAGTCGACAAACGGTCGTAACGAGACGAAATACCCCGTCAAGGCCGTCAACATCCTCAAGGCACACGGCAAGGGCTCCCTCGAGTCCCAGCTGATCAAGGGTTACGCTCTGAACTGCACAGTCGCCTCGCAGGCCATGCCGACAAGAATACAAGATGCCAAGATTGCGGTGTTGGATATGAACCTGCAAAAGGAGCGCATGAAGTTGGGTGTCCAGATCACGGTGGATGACCCTCAACAGTTGGAGCAGATTCGCCAGAGAGAGTCGGGCATGATCCTGGAGAGAGTAGAGATGATCCTCAAGGCGGGTGCCAATGTCATCCTTACCACCAAGGGTATCGATGACATGGTTCTCAAGACCTTTGTCGAGAAGGGTGCCATGGGTGTGCGCAGGTGCAAGAAGGAGGACCTCCGCAGAATCGCCAAGGCGACGGGCGCTACCATGCTCAGCACACTGTCGGACCTCAACGGTGACGAGAAGTTCGACCCCTCATACCTCGGACACGCCGAGGAGGTTGTTCAGGAGCGCATTTCCGACGACGAGTGCATCCTCGTCAAGGGCACCAAGAGCCACTCCTCAGCATCCATCATTCTTCGTGGACCCAATGACTTCACCC